TCGATCAACTAATATTGGGTATCTATGCAATGAAGTATTATTTGTAAGTAAAATGTGTGAACCATGAAAACATAACACCAATGAAAGACCTTACAAAGATCACATTATAGGATTCTGTTTAGATGAGATGCTCAGGTAGGCAAATCTGCCCATTAGGCAGTGCTCAGTGAGTGCCAGGTGCTTGGGTGGGGGAGGGAAGGTACAGTGAGTGAGCAGTGACCATGAATGGCTGCTGGTGGTAGTCGAACAAGTTTGTGAAGATAACCAAAACCACGACAGTTAATAATGTACAGAAATTATATCTCTAAAACGCTATTGCAAAACCAGATAATGGCAGGTACAACCTTGGGCAGTGAAGAAGGATGAAATCAGTGTTGGGGGAACCTGCTGTAGTCTACCTGGGAATGCCAACCCCCCTCCCCCAGAGGCACAAGCATGCAGGAGAGGCACAGGGCACAGTGGGCTCATGGAGCTCTCTCCTTACCATCCAACACTCTGTTCTCCTGCTCTGCAGTGGGTCATTTAGGGGAAAATACTGCAAGCCAGGAGTAGGAGACAGAGGAAGATTATAAATCCTAAGACCGAAAGCCTGTTTGGAAGCTAGAGTTAGACCCTGCTTTCCGATCTACTAGCTTGTGGCCTAGGACCAGTAACAATCTTGCTAAACTTCAGTTTCTATGAAATTTGGACAGCAGCAAGAAGCACCACATGGGAGAGTACCACAAAGCCGGGGAGACGATGATACACAAATGCAGGGAAAGTTGGTAGAACATTATGTGACAAGGACACATTGTTACCATTAGCATTGTTACCATTGTCATAGATGTGATCTTATTGTTAGGGCAGGCTGAGGTCACCCTAGCCATCCGCTCAGAGTGCCAGTCAGACTCCCTGCTGTTCTCATCTTGGCTTATTCCCTGCCTGTTTGTGCTTGCAAGTACTCCCTTCAGTACCTGGGACAGCAGCACAGGGCATCTGCACAAAGGACAGCAGCAGCTACTGCTGAGATCCTGACACTAGCACAGTTTCAGAAATCATAACAGAAACCCACTTGGAATTTTCCCCCAAAGCTTATGAGATAGGTGTTTTTTTAACCCTTGGCCCATAACTAAGGGAAGCTGAAATAAGGTGAGAACTTCACCAAGTGAAGGAAGAGTCAGAGCTGGAAGCCAAGTCCAGATGTGTCCTCTGGCCTTCCCAAGACACTGGGTGGAAATACAACTCCAACAGGAGAAAAGTTAGGAAGCAGGTAACAGTGGGTGAAGCCTGCAACCAACACTATCAGCAACAGTCAAGATACCAAAGCCCCTCCACTCACTCCTTTATCATTCATGCAGATATTAAATATCTATTATTCACCAAGGATTAAAAAAACAGCTGTTGAAAGACACTCATTTCCACAAAACAAAATTACAGAATGTTATAATCAACACATGAATTGAAGGATGGAGGAATTGCTGGTGTAAAAGAAAGCTTCAAATACTTTCTCAACCATCAAGAAAACCTTGTCTACTACTTTCAGCCTCCCAGAACAAGAGTGCAAAGAGCAGATCTAGCATGACATATCTTCCCTGAGGATCATTGATGAATGGAATTTTAAACGCTAAGGTTTGACTCTTGCTTACAATCAGAAGCTGGCCAGCATGCTGACAATCTTCTACCTCCCCTTCATGAGGTGAGACAATGGAAGGACTGACTGCGAATGGGGTGGATATGGAGAGCCCGTGGTAGAATGGTTAGAAATGAGTAAGAGATTAGATCTATGTGCCAAGCTTGGCACATAATTGGCTTGGCCAGTTATGACCATTGTAAGACTGATACAAACTGATTGACTAAATAGTGTGCAGAAACAACTCATTTCACTCATTGTAAAGCACAATTTCACAAAGCAGTGTTTCATTTGCATAAATATACCTTTATTAAGGTTTAAAATGCTAAGGGTATTTCCATTATATGTAGGACCATAGAAATGACAATTATGGCTCTGCAACTTTCAGAGGTACTACAGATTTCTAAACTCTTCTTCTCCAGTAAAAACAGGGCAATTTCCATGAAAGAGAAAGAGCAAGGAGGAAATATATAAAATATTTATTTGGAAGGATTGGCTAAATATTTAAGAGATTTTTTTTAAATGTCATTGCTGAGATGATAAATACAAACTATGAAATTACGTGGGAGCTAGTTTTCAAACGTGTGTGTGCGTGCATACGTTCATGCACCTGCATACACTCATGCCAGTCCTGGGGCTGAGTGCTGTCCTTGAGCTTTTTTGATCAAGTCTAGCACTCTACCACTTGAACTGAAGCTCCACCTCTGGCTTCTCTGGTGGTTAAATGGAGATAAGACTCTTATGGACTTTCCTGCTCAGGTTGGCTTTGAACCATGATCCTCAGATCTCAGCCTCCTAAGTAGATAGGATTATAGGTATGAGCCACCAGTGCTTGATTCAAACAGAATTTTAAGGTAATAAGTTAATCCAACACATTCAATAGCTACTAGAATACATATTTTATAAATGACAATAAAATAGCAACTAAAAACCTAGAAAAGAAGACAGGTGCCAGTAACTTACATCTGTATTCCTAGCTACGCAGGATACTGAGATCTGAGGATTGCCATTTGAAGCCAGCTCAGCCAGGAAAGTTAGAGAGTCTCTTATCTTCAATTAATCACCAATAAAAGAAAGAAAACATAGTCCAAAAGTACAGCTTTGGCTCAGGCTTAGTGACAGTGCCCAGAACCTGAGTTTATGACCCAGGTCTAACACACGCGCGCGGGTGCACGCACGCACACACACACACACACACACACACACACACACAATCCAGTAAAAATTGAGCCTCTACAAGCCTTGACAAAGAAGTGGAGTGGAATGGTGGTTTCCAGAGGCTGGAGTGGGTGGGGAGAGAGTATAGAGGACAGATCAACAGGCACTAATTTGCAGTGAGCTGGGAAGAAGTTCTAGGGAATTATTGTACAGTATGAGCACCACTGATAACAAGAATGCCTATACATTTCAGAAAGCTAGGAGAAAGGAACTGAAAACTTTCTACCAAAAATAAATGAAAAATTTGGAAAAAATTATACTAAGTGAAGTAAGCCAGGCCCAAAGACACATAGGTCCCATGGTTTCCCTTATTTGCAGTAACTAGTATATGTCTGAGACAAGCAGAAAATGTCAGATAAGTTGATGCTGGGTGAAATGAACCCCAAGATAAGGATTCAAATGGTTTTGCTTTCATGTAATTGTTTCTAACATATTTATAAGATGATTTCTTTGTTGCTTTGTATGTCCCTCCCCCATGGTATAACCCATGCTTTCACTGTATTTGATGTTGGTATAATTTGTGGAGGGGAAGGGAAAAAACAAATCGTTTAAATAGGGATACAGGTGGACCCAATGCAACAATGAGATGTACAAATCGTTACGTTGAAAAACGAACTTTACAACTTTGGCATGGAGAAGGAAGGTGGTACGGAGAGGTGGGGAAGATGGGAAGGGATGGGAAGGAGAAACAAAGGAAGAGGCAACAATGCTTGATAAGAAATGTACTCATTATCTTGCCCATGTAATTGTAACCCCTCTATATGACATTTTCACAATAAAAAAAATTGAACCTTGCTGGGCACCGGTGGTTCACACCTATAATCCTAGCTACTCAGAAGGCTGAGATCTGAGGATCACGGTTAAAAGCCAGCCCTGGCAGGAACATCCGTGAGACTCTTATCTCCAATAAACCACTAGAAAACCAGAAGTGGTGCTGTGGCTCAAGCGGTAGAGCACTTGCCTTGAGCTGAAGAGCTGAAGGACAGCATCCAAGCCCTGTGTTCAAGCCCCACAACTGACAAAAAAAAAATTGAGCCTTTCTGAGGAATGTAATAAAATTAAAAAGTTTAATAACATAATATTATATTACAGGGACAATACTGCTATAAAACTATTATTATGATATCCAGTAAACAATGAAGCCATATTTTCTTAAATCTTAAGCAATTTTCTTGAAATTAAATGTAAAACAGTAATAACAATGTATTAAGCAAGTAAATACCCATCTGATGTTTGACTATAATTATTGTTTACATTTTTCAGGAAAATTAAGAACACTGAACATATGCTCGTGGTAATCTATAGCAAAGCAAGGTATCTGTCTCTAAATTTTATTGAAATGTATGTACTGAATATTCTCTATAAAATGAATTAAGATATTGCTTTCAAATTAAGGATAAAGGAAATGAAATGTCTTTTAGATGATCTCAAACTGTACATGAAACAAATCCTTTCAATAATAGCATCTATTAAAATTAGTTGACTTTGAGCTTCTTATTATGAAAAAAAAACAGTGCTTGGGCAGAAAATCATTTTTGAACTGCCATGCTATAAAAGAGTTAATGAATTCCACAGATGCTCTCAGCTCTCAGAAACAAAAAGATAAAAAGCTTTCCCTGTAGGAAATTTCATTTTGGAGTTGTGCATATTTAAAATGCCATCAAAAAGGAGAGTATAGTTATCTGTTAATCAAATATTTAATGCAAACTTTGTTTCCTTTCTGTTATAGAGACTAAGCTTGGTTTTATTTTTTTAGGGAAAAAAAGCAGAAAATAAAGAATTGTGATCCTTCTCAAAATCTGTCTTACTCAGCTATCAAATGTCTTAGTCCATATACAGATAAGCTGGAAATCTGTCCACACAAAACTCAATTGAGTAGAAAAGAAACCAATTGGAAATGTATTGTACTAATTGTACCCAAACATCAGAGTCTCTGCAGCCAGCCTCTTTTGGGCCTTCTGCCTCCTGTCTTAAGAGACCCTACCACTTACTTCATCCCACCATGGCCAAGGACATTCTTCAAGGTCAGATCCAGAATGGTTTTTCTCCCCAGAAAAAGCACTGAACAGATGAGTTAAAATTTGAAGAAAGTAAAGGACATGGTAGCATGGTAAAGACAGAAGAAATGTTGGAGAAATGCCAGCATCATAACATAATAATTGAAAACATGTACCTTTACTCTTTGGTCATCAACATCTATAATTGTTGCAACACGAATTAAGCGTGGGTTTCGTTTATCCACAACTTCAAGTTTCATGTCTGGCAGAAAACCATGAGGGCCCCTCTGAAATATTATAGAACATTATAGCTGCAATAAGTCATGCAACTTTCACATCATCTATTTAATCTCAATTCAACATTCACAATTCAGATCTTCTAGTCAATTTTTCTCGAGTATTATTGCTTTAGTCTTAATGCTCAAATCTTTAACCCAATTGGAGTTTGCTTTTCACAACTCATGGGACTTTATGTAATTCTTCAAATCTGTTTCACAAAAAATCTGGGAGGAGAAAATTTTTTGTCACATTGAAGGTCGTTAAACAAAGACAGACTCAATTCTGACTCCATTAACAATCACATCAAAGTTCTCAAAGGATTTTATTTATTTAAATTTCTTCCCCTTTTTTCAAATTAGCCTTTGTAAATGAAGAAATTTTTGGCTATTCTCAGTATTTCCCAGTTTGGGATTGCATATCCAAGGAGGTTAAGTTATCAAAGACGTAATTCAAAAAGCACACAATGCTTCCTAGATCTAAAATGTTTTTAACATATATAATTTTGTACTACCTTTAAGTAGGTATACAAAAGAGTTCAATTCAACATGTCAGTTTCTGAGTACAATGTATCTTGATCAGTGTCATCCCTTCCATTATTTTCTTCATCTCTCCCAGTCCCACTCAGCTCCTAAACTGTTTCATGCTTAGATAAAACCTTGCATGATTTCAACTGTTGTCTTAAAATCATACTGTGCTATCATTGAAAACCATAGCTTATGAGTTGTTACTTCATCAGTAAGATTAGAGGCCTCAGCTGTGTTGAGGTTCCTTTCAAGTCTCAAAATGCAGGGACCAAATGTCAGTGATATGGACACACAGTCAAGAAGGAAATAGGGCAGAAAAAAAAAGGCACAAGGACCTAAAGAGCCATTATAACCTCAGAAATTTAACTATCACAAGTCAGAGTCAAAAAGTTACTCCGAAGTGTTTGTAACATAGCAAAACCTTTCACCGTTACTGCACACCAAAGTTTGCTCTAGACATTATAGGAAATGAAAGCATATGAAACTTAAGTCTAGAAATGGTCATAGGAAAATGAAACCCTGCTAATACAGGAGTCATAAATAGTCACCTTTCTCCAACATCTAGTGTGTTTTACTCCAACATATTTTCTTTCTACAAAGCATACTTACATTTAATACATGGAGTGTGTTCATGTTTTTCCCCCAAATCACTATCCTCACATGAAATTGTTTCATTTTGTAGATGACAAAGACACCTACTTGAGCTGTATCCACATAACCATGAGACAGAGCCTAGAAGTTGCCTTTTTAACTACTTTCATCATTTTGTTTTCTTGTATGTTTTTAATGTTAGAAAAGTAAACTGAAAAGGCTGGGTATGGTGGTACAATCTGTAATTCATATGTGGCTCTATTTGAAAAATAACTGAATGGTTCAAGTGGGGGAACTTCTGCTAGGAAGCCCAAGAGTTTAAGTTCAAATCCTAGTACTGCCAATTTTTTTGCATACACAGTAAAACAACGTTTTGAAAGAAGACAAGAGAGAAAGAATACAAGTAGCTGAGAATTTTTACTTACTAAAATCCAGAAAGCTCCTCTGTAGGCTAGAGGCTGGTGGTTCCTACCTATAACCCTAGCTATACAGGGGCCAGAGATCAAAGGGCCATGGTTCAGAATCAGCCTAGGCAGACAAATCTAAGAGACTATGTCCAATTATCCAGCAAAAAGCCACACTGGAGGTATACCCAAATGGTATGATTGAAAAACTAAGTGAGCAAGAGCACAAGGCCCTGAGCTCAAGACCCAGTACACACACACACACACACACACACACACACACACACACACACACACACACACACACACACACACACACACACACACACATCCTCTGTAGCACTCTGGTACTTCTAGTCTTCTCATTCATATTATACATCTTTCCCTATGTCTAGTCAATTACAACTTTTTCAAAAACCCAAAACATCAAACAGCTTTTTGTTTCAAACCCCTTTAATCACTAGAAAACTTTTGGCAGGTGAAACTGTATGAAGAAACCCAATAAATAAAATTATTATCATAGACAAGTCCAGCAGTCTGAAGCACACAATTAGACCTGAAGGGAACTGACTTGAAAATTGTCTGTAGAATATAAATATTTCTAATCAGGTAAAAATCTATCTGTTTGGTGGACCTGTTGCAACAATGAGAAGTATAAGTTGTCATGTCGAAAATGAGCTTTACAACGTTGGTGGGGGGGGAAGGGAGAGGATTGGGTGGGGGGGGAGGGGGGAGGCTGGGAAGGGATGTGAAGGGTAAACAAAGGAGAAGGCTGCAATGCTTGATAAGAAATGTACACATTATCTTGCCCATGTAATTGTAACCCCTCTGTACAGTATGTTCACAAAAAAATTTAAAAAAACCAAAAAAGCAAAAAAAATCTAGCTGTTCACTTCTTTTTTTATTGTGAAAATACTGTACAGAGGAGATACAATTACATGGGCAAGATAATGAGTACATTTCTTATCAAGCATTGTAGCCTCCTCCTTTGTTTCCCCTTCCCATCCCTTCCCATCCTCCACCCCCACCCCCCAGCTAATCCTCCTCCCTGACACCAAAGTTGTAAAGTTCGTTTTTTGACATAACGACTTGTACATCTCATTGTTGCAATGGGTCCACCTGTATCCCTATTTAAGCGATTTGTCTGTTCACTTCATTTTATAAATGAATTTATACTTAGATCAACCCTGGAATTAGTACATTAATGTAAATTTGATATGCAAAAATCAGTATTCTGACAACTGCTGGAAGAAACATTTTCCTTCAGCTCGATAAAGATATGCACAGAGACTGCACATATTCCCCTGGTTATACTGTGTCATTGTGGACCTTGGAGTCATCCTTGAGGAAACAATACTGTCAGAGTTCAAACCTCTCACCCTGTACATTGACAAAACTGAATCTGGAACTACAAGGTTTCCACCATCAGTGCTGAAGTGGCATGTTCAGTGGTACCCTGGCATGCTTTACTGTCTTCCTTTATTGTTTAGTTTGTGCATTGAGACAGGGTCTTACTACTTGGCCATGCTGGCCTTGAACTTGAGATCCTCCTGCCTCAGACTCCCTAGTTTATATTACAGGCAGGTGCTGCCATGGGCAAATTGTGATTTTTAGGAAAGAAAACCATCACCTACATTATTAGATAGATGCAGTAGCAAGTGGGAGTCACCTACTTTTAAGTTTTGAGCAAAGTAAGTTGGCCATGAAAAAAATGTTTAAAAACAGAAAACTGGAATCATTTAAAACAACTCATGAAACAGGACTCAACAAGAGCATTTGAAGGCCAGAGTGTGTTCCCATATGGAACTTACCATTTTTAAAACTTTGGCAGGAACTGCATTAGTTTGAGTAGCTTCCAGATAGTCTGTCCAGGAAAAGCTTTCTGGATCAGTATATCCTGAAAAAATACATATGTATGAAAAGATTATTCAGAGTTTTTTAACTGAAAAACATTAGAAAACGAAAGATCACTATTTGACTGTCAACTAAGAACTTTACAATGACTCCATGAAAGTTTTCTGTTCATCTGGGACACAGTAAGGCAGAAAGGCATGAAAGCACTCATTCACTGGTTCATTCATTCATGCAACAAAGTCAGGCATATTGACCCAGGTCAAATGACCACAAAAGTACTTAGCAGAGTTAGGTATTTTACTCAGGACTCAACTCCTAAGACCTTCCAGACGTCTCTCTAGATGTTTGGAAAAAACCTATAATCAGTCATCTGACCTGAAACCACCAGTGGGGGAAAAAGACTTGGATACTTTTTCCAATTCTTCCAAAAAGTCTGTGTCTAAGCGTCTCTCATTCATATTAAACCTGCATAATCACAATGTGCCAAAACTGCTATTTTTCATTGCAGAGGGGGAGATACATAGCTTATGTGGTAAACAGCTTGCCTAACAAGTACAAGGCTATGAGTTCAATCCTGAGTACACAGCACAGAGCCATCTATAATGTTTAATTAAACTTCTCTTTGGCTGAGTGTTTTGTTTCTTTTGCTATTTTGTAATCTTTTTTCTTGGTATTCTTTTTACCACTAATCCACTTAAAGAGGTCTATACCACAATGACTTCTTTTGGTCCTTTCAAAGAATAACTACTCACATCTACTCCTTATCTCTATGCTTTCCTTTCTAATTCTGTTGTTTGCTGCTTTTCCTTTACTTCTTTTGGTTTTATTTTACCCTTTTTTTTTTTAAAGTGGACTGCAGGGTCTGGGAAGGTGGCTCAGTGGTAGAGCGCTTGCCTTGCATGCCTGAGGCCCTGGGTTCGATTTCTCAGCACCACATAAGCAAAAAGAAAAAAGCCAGAAGTGGCGCTGTGGCTCAAGTGATAGAGCGCTAGCCTTGAGCTGAAGAGCTGAGAGACAGCGCCCAGGCCCAGAGTTCAGGCCCCACGACCGGACCCAAAAAAAAAAAAGTGGACTGTAAAATTATTTTTATATTTAAAAATGAGATAATAATAAATCTGTCCTTGCTGCTATTGCATACAGCATTAGAAAGCAATACACTCTTCTATGAATAATGTGGTTTTCTCATTTTTATGTCATATGAAATTGTATCTGAAACCACTGTCTTTATTGACTCATTGGCCATATATTTTAAGAGATTTTCCAGGTAGTAAGCTGTCTTTTTATTTAAAATATTAATGTCTAGTTTAGTTTCAGAATGTCATGGTGGTATGTACGATTCCTCTTTGGGGAATTCAAGGATGTCTTTTTAGCATAATACAGGATTAAAAATTAAAGAATGTATATGTATAAGTTTTAAAGTTTGATATTAAAAGAGTCTGGCTATGTTATTTAAAGTTTGTTTCTGTTTTAAGCAGAAAATCAAGAGCATTACACTAAAGTCTGTTAAGTATTGTCATACTCAGTATTTCTGATCATTTTTCTTCATTTATAGGAATTTTACTAAAATAGACTATATTTGCAGCCAATCCAGCAAACAGCCAGAAACATATGCATAGAATTAGCACATCAGTGTGAGCAGATCCAAACACCAATCCCTCAACCCATCCCCATCCTCATCCCCATCCTCATCTCCACCTCTAGCTGGCTCACAATGCTCCTGCACAAGTTCCCACCTGTTGAACCTGTGCAGAAACGCTTTCCTCTTAGAGAAACTGAGTCCCACAGAGAGAGCTCAGCATTCTCACTAAGAGGATCATTAGATTGATTACTGCATGAAAAACACTTGTTTCCATGGTTTTATAATATTCCAACATATAAGTGCTCCACAATTCACATTTCTCTTCTACTTAGAATAATGATGGAAATGTAGTTGTCATCATTCTAGTACCTTCTTTTGATTGACCATTCAGCTGGAATGCACATAGAAGTAAAGTTGCTGAATCGTGGTGTGCTTTCCTGGAACACAGGGTTCTTGGATGGATTATGGGGGTACTTTACTTCCTAACTTTAACCCTTCAATTAGTTGTTCTGGGTGTGTCTATTTTAAGCACCTTCAAATTGTATTTTAAATAAGTTATATCTACTTTCATAACTTGTTTTATCTGAATTCTAGAAGCAGGTTTCAAGCTCTGCTCTCTGTCCTCATCTGTATAAATGCCTTTTATTTTCAACTGTTATATCCACACAGTGTCATGTGCTTATTATTATTAAGTCGATATACAAAGAGCTTACAGTTCTGTAAATCAGGTTATGAGCACAATGTCTCTTGATCAATGTCACCCCTTCCATCATTCTCCCCCACTTTCTTCCACCCATCCCAACCCTCAATGCATGTGCTTTTTAAATGCCCATACTTTCAAAAACAAAGTCCAGAGTATACTTTGTATTTAAGATCTTCAGCCTTCTACATAGCTTCTGACCAATATGCCCACTCTTGACTCCTTTATCCCTAAGGTTTTGCACCCAGGTACCTAACATGAAGAGTCAGAGGATGGAAGAAAGAATGGAGAGTGGGGAGACTGAGCAAAAGGCAGAATGGATAGAAAATGAGTGAAAGGGAGAGCAGCAAGTTGTGTCTACCCTCAACCTTGCAAAGAGTCTGGTCCACTGCTATGAGAGGCAAACTTTCCTTTCCTGATAAACAAGAAAGAGTAGGAGGCTGTGACATTTTAACAGGTTCTTAAGCAACACTATGCATATGTGAAAAAGGAATATGCACATCCTATAGGAAACCAAGAAAGAGATGTCTTACTGACATGGGGAGTGCTGCGAGTGCTGCCTGCTCTCCTTCTTCCTCCTGCCCAGACCTGAGTCCCGGGAGACCTTGGGAGGACACAGGTTGGGGTCCACACCAGACATCTTCCCACAGCTACTTTTCCAAAGTCTAAGTTGCTGCTTGAAATATGAAGGAAATATTTGGAAGCACCCTACAGATCAGCAATATCCTTTAGACTCGACATTCTTCCTAAAGAAAGTCAACCTCTAACTGGCTTCCACTTAGGATAAGCTATACTGAGTACTGTATTTACGTGGTATGGTGGGATCCAGCAAGGGGAGCCCTAAGGTGGGGGGGATCCAAACAGCCCAGCCCAGCTTCCTAAGAAGTAGGAAGCACAGAAAGGGAATCACAGAAACAGCAGGACAATGGATGAACCATAGCAACATAGATACTCACTTGACATTATGTTGAATTTGAACATTACAACTTGGATGGGGGAGGGGGAGGGAAAGGTAAGTAGAAGATAAAGAGGGATGGGTAATGGTGATTAAAAAACAAATGTACTTACTGCCTTACTTATGTAACTGTAACACCCCTGCTCATCACCTTTTCAATAATGTTTTTAAAAGTAGGAAGCCAGATGGGATACTGCAGCAAAAGGACTTCCTTTGCTGGCCCTAGGAAGGTGATGGCCTTGAGAGGCCAGGAAAAAAGGCCTGTGAGCAGAAAGCTGGCACCGAGGGAGCTCAAGGCCATGGAATACCGGAGCAGGAAGGGGTCTACGTGAAGAAAAATGCTTCCTTAAAGAAACAGCATTTAAGCTGAGTTCTGGTGGCTCATGCCTGTAATCTTAGCTACTCAGGAGACTGAGATCTGAAGATCATGATTTGAAGGCAGCCCAGTCAAAAGAAGCCCAAAGTGGTGCTGTTGGCTCGTGTGGTAGAGTGCTAGCCTTGAGCACAAAAAGGCTCAGGGATGGTACCCAGGATCTGAGTTCAAGCCCCAGGATCAGACAAAAGAAGGAGGAGGGAGGGAGGGGGGAGAGAAGGAGGGAAGGAGGGAGGAGGAAGGGAAGGTGGAAGGAAGGAAAGAAACAAACAAACAGCATTTAGGGATGCAAAATGGAGATACTACAAGTCAAATGGACCAAGATCTAAGCTATATCACAACCAAATCTGCATTCATTCTGATGGCATCCTGGGTTACTACAAGGGAATAAGCAAGCTCAATGTGATCTGTGTCTAATCTACCTCTTCTCACATTGGCTCTGCTCCTGCACTCATTACAACCCCACACACCTCATCCCTCCTGAAGTTCTATACTTGCTCTTCTTTCACCTGGTAACCATGTTTCCTCTGATGCTGCACTACATCTCCTTGATGCATTCCCATTAAGCCCTTCCCTAAAACCCCTTTACAATGGGAATCCCCTCCCTACTGGTCCCATCCTTTTTCATCCATTGCATGCCTGGTTTATCTCCAAAGCACTATAGCCATCCAACAGATTGTATGTTTTCCATATTTTGTACCTCTTTTATGCCTTAATTACTGCAATACCCTTACGCACTATCAGACCTAATAGGACACAAGCTGCTGTATGACCAGAGTATAGTTACTTCACTGCACTTTCCTCAATGGCTGTAGTGGGTACTCCACTGATAATTGATGTCGTTCCTGAGACATCTGCAACTATTATTGTGGTGCCAAGAAGCATCAGAGGCAAGTCGGAATGATGGCAGCCTAGCCTTACAGAAGATGCTAGAGCATGCTCCACTACAACCCAACAATGTGAATGGACCAACACCAGCTAGTGACCCAAAGCACTGAAGACTCCATTATCATCCAAGAGGTCACATGACCTCACACAAGGCATCACACAAGCAAATATAACTGACTCATAGTCAGTTCCGTGCAAGGAAGATCAAGACAAGAGTGATATGGTTACAGGTTCTCAATAAGGACATCCTTGATATTATTTTTCTCCAGCAACCTAAGAAGAAAAACCTAGGTTTGCCCTACAATATCAGAAAGCACTTGGATCACAAACTAATAGTACAAGTCCTTCCATCCCACATCTGGGCTGAATATCATACCCTGCAGGGAGATATATGGCCATTACTACATCTGGGCTAATTGAGGAACGAAAAACAAGAAGTGTATTAGAAAAAAATAGCCATTTTTAAGAAATTGAAAACAATTCCATTCAATATCCAGCAATAAAAAGTAATCTTCTGGAATATCATTGACAAGTAGGGTCAATGAGAA